GCAGTCATTGTTAAAATTCGCCTTTATTAAAAAAAGTTGCCCTTATTTAATGTTACTGTCATAGAAATATTTTTATGACTGTGTGGTGCCAGTCTTTATTTTGGCATCTAAGCTCTGTAAAAGTTTTAGAAAATTGCTGTTCTGCAGGGTGAGCTGCAGTTTTAATTGCAGCTGTGTACTTTGATATTCTGTGTAGTCATCTATTTCCCATTTTTACTATTTTAGTTACCCTTTCAGGAAATTTTTTCAAATGTTGGTGTAAGCACAGTATTCAAAAAGTGTGAAGCACTTAGCAATCTTAGAAGAAATTAGTGTGGGGATTGGGTGAAGAAAAATTGATGAAACTGGTAGAATTTATTTTTTCACCAAATGAATTTAAGATGAATAGAGAATGAAGGTAGGAGGATACAAGGGACTGGCTATTCATGGGTCCTGTTTAGTTCTAAATTGAAGGCTTTTGGAAGTCAGTGGTTTAGTAGAACTGCTTCTAAAGCTCTACTTACTTGAATTTGCAGTTGATACACTTTAGTGTATCCGTTTGCTTTGGGCTGGGACTTGTATTCAGTTGTGGTAGTTCACTGGCCCAGTATTTAGTAGTTTCAGACTTTTTTTTTTACTTTGGCTAAAGCTAAATAATAATTTGAAACATTAAATTGTTCAAAATAGTATTACTCAAGAATCCCCATAGCAAAGGATACTATAGTCTCTACCTTTGGAGTACGCTAACTGAGGTGAAGGTGAAAGACAACTCCGTAATTATGACACTGGCAAGTCCTTTATTGCCGCTGTCACTCTTACGTGTCTTTTATCTGTAGGATTTTCATTCATAGTGGGGCATGGGGGTCAAGAGGCATTCTGTAAACTTTCAGGAAAACTCAGGTTGTAGGTTCATATTTTGGAATATTTGCATAGACTTTCGCCTGAAATCAGAAGTGCTCCAAAATCCAAGAATTTTTGAGTGTCGTGTTGGCACTAAAAACATTTTGGATTTTTTGATTAGGGATGCTCAACTTGTACTCTGCATTGAAGTGGTGTGTATTTTGCTTGCTTGGAGGTCAGAAGCTCTTTACGTAGAATTTAGTTTTAGAATTTAATTTCTGGTTTGTCAGGCTGTAGGGTCTCATAACAATCTGACCACCCAACGTTAAATATATATAGGTAGTACTGTAGGTGGAAAAAATTAATTTAGGAGTTAAGGATGTAGTCATCCTTACAAATCAGCTTTCATTTCATGAAACATTTTGCTTTATATTTAGTCATTGTTTATTTACTCTAGCCAGTTGTTTAGCCAGTTACGGAAAATAGGTCTATTGGACACGTATCAGTGAAACATTTTCTCTAGTTTATGTTTAATAGACAATATGTTTTAAAGTATGTTTTAAAAAAAAATTGTAAGAGCCACCATGAGGTGTAGGTAGAGATGGATTCAGAAACATAGAAGTGTTTAGGGAGCTAGAACTCTTTACTTGGATTTTATTATTTATGAGCCTAGTTAATTTAGCTGCCTATTAGTTATGCACTTTGTGGTTTGTGTAGCATATTTTAAGTATTAATCTGGCTTTCTTGCTGTTGAGCTTACAGGGATTATAAACTGATTTTAGTATGTACTCAAAACATAATCAGTAGGTGATATATTTTCTTAAATGCAGTTGGTCTTCTGTATCCATAGATTTCACAGCCACAGGTTCAATCAACCACAGATCTAAACTGTTTTGGGTAAAAATTGTATCCATTGAATGAACAGACCTTTTTTTTTAGTATAACAGTTTACATAGAGTTTACAACTTCTAAGTAATCTAGAAATGACTTAAAGTATAGGCAAGGATGTATGTTGCTTATCTACTACATACACCATGTTACACTAGCTGCAGATTGTGGGATACTTGTACCGCTTTGGGAGTAATGTGGTAGAATCAGTGCCCTGTTAATAAAGAGGAACAACTGTTATGTAGTAGGTCATATACTATTAGATTTTGTGTTAGTATTTCTCTTCTGGGATGTAGAATACATTTTGTGAAATGCAAAATGCTGCTCTCCACCCTTTTTAGTTTTCTAAATGGACGTGATTATTACATCCCGATGTGGTTGTTATTATTATTTAAGTAGATTGGCTTTGAAACATGACCTTTTGTGGTGTTGGTAGTATCCTACAGTACACAGATATTATTAACTATAATTTTAAGACTGCAGAGAGCGATATTGGGGCTAGGAAGGAGAATGAAGAATGCTTTGAAAGCTCTATGATAGTAGTACCAATAATGGTATAGAGTTGATACAGTATATACAGTATATCTGTGATATTTAACTTTTCTAAGAATGTTTAGGGAAAAACTATCCAAAAAATATAACCCCTTGTGAAAAAGATTGAGAAACATTGCCTTCAGGGAGCTAATAGGATGTTGGTCATTTTTCTATTCATCTTATTTTTAAGAGCTTTTTCTGACTAGGCAACGGCTATTTATATATCAACAATCTTCAACTCAATTAAAATTAAAAGTAATAATTGAAAAAGACCCTTCATATAGAACTTGGCAGTATTTGACTATTTCTCCTTGACAAAGTAGAAACCTTTGTTTTTCATTTATTCACGTTTTCAGAGCTCATTTCTTTAGATGTGACCTGTGACGGACGTTTTGCATAATTTCAGAATGTGCATGCGCCTTGATTTAAGCTGAAACGAAGCTGGATATATTCTGTATTTTTTAATATGAAAGATAGGTGTGATGTAATGCAGCTGAAAAGGAGTTGCTGATACTATGAGTTAATGCTTTGAGTTGCCTTTTTTAATAATGGCGGCAAATGTACTCAGATTACTTAACATTTTCTCGCTGAGTCCCAGTGCATACTGTTGGGACAATAGCCTTGCAACAGACTGAAGCTAATTGGTCCGCCAGCAGCTCAGACTTCAAGACGTGGTCTCCCTTAGCCTCATACTTCAACTAATTGGAAGCAGTCCAACTACCAGACAAAATGGCTGATTCTAAATGTTGGTAGAAGGGCATCAGTGTAGAAAATGGGTTGCTGTCAATTCATAGGAATTTATGGACATACAAAAATAATAAGTGATTTTAATGCATCAGGTTAGTGTAGCTGCAATTAAAATGCTTGTAAATTGTCTAATTATGTTAATTTTTTCAGATTCACAATTAAAGAAAAACATCATAGTGTCTTTTAGTGTAAGTAAAAGTATAAATTTAAATTTTAATGTTTAGCTTTGTTATTAATAATTCTTGCGTTCCCTTTTACTCTCCCTCAGACCATATATTGTGATTTGTCTTTCCTAGTAGGATGGAGACACAACTCCTTTAGAATAATAATTCTTCTTGGTGTACAGAACTGGACTGCAAGAGAGTTTACAGCGTCCACTACTCCTTGTGGGAAGCTTTTTAGTATCTTTAAGTGCATGGAATCACTTGTTGGTTGTATCTACACTGCCTGAAGCTTCAGCTTCGCTGAAACTATATAACAAAACTTAGCCTCATTTTTTTGTTTTTCTTACTGTCCCTGCAATTTCAGTATATTTCTTTATTTAATACTCACTCCTTAGAGAGTATTGCTAAACAAACAGCATAAAGTCAGTGGCATTATTCAGTGACTTGTGGTCTTAGTTTCTGCCCATTGCTAAAAATGGTTTTGTTCTCAGACTTAACCTTAATACCCTGAACCCTTATTAAATAAGTCTTAACAGAATTGTGTCTTACAACAAATAAAATTGAAATGTAAAGATTCTTTTATATAACTAGTAAATTGGATAGCTCATTATTTATGCAGTTACCTAAAGATGACATAAATTTGAGGTCTATTTGAGTATGTGTATGAATGTTTTCTTTCCCCCTAAGTCATTTTATTGTTTCTTTCTTTTTAAAAATATCTTACTCTGGCTGTTTTCTGAATAACAAAACAATAGCTACTCTCCCTTGGAGCTGACAATATCTTATTGATCTGTTTTCCATCATACAACAAGTGCTTTCTCTTGGTCATTATCCCCATAGTAGTCCTGAAAACTATCAGTTCTTCCTAATTTGTTAATAAATTGTATGCACTGGAGAGTCTGAACAGTTAAGGTATCTTGAAATTATCGTTTTCCTTTCATTGCAAATGTTCTACTTCAGAAGAATAAAATAGTTCAAATTGATATGAGCTCCTAGTCTGGAGTTTTATCTCTGCTATAGGTTTAGTCAAGCTCATGAACCAGCAGTGGTTACCAAAGGCAATCAAATGGTGTTGTGTGTTGTGCTAGTACCTACAATGCATTTTTCTTGCGGTTATCCCTATCTTCTAAGTTTCTTCTATTCACCTATTTTTTTTAAAATTTATTTTTAATTTTCCTCTTCCTTATTCCTTGCTTGTCATTTAGGCATGTAAGTGGCATCACTAGATTGCTTTAATTCTGGTGGTAAAACTCAATGGGAAAGGTTTATTAGATCTTTATGTATTTTTTCTCATTTACTTGACATCTAAAAAGTCAGGTAAGCATTGGCTCTTCATTGACTGAGAATATTATTGTGAGATACTAATTTGGAGAATTCTACTTGTATTTCATTTATTCTTTCTGAAGATTATTTGTCATTTTTAATCCTTTTCTATGGCTCAGCTCACTTTTCTTTTTCTGAAACCATTAGCTTTTTCAGGATTGGGAGCAAGAACTAAATACCATAGAAAATAATAGTTCTTTTTTTTGTGGTTAAGCACTGAAGACTTATAATGGCTCTGTTTTTTGTTTGTAGATACTCTTATTTCAAATATGCTTTTAAAAGTTTTCTACTTACATTCATGTGTTATTATTTAAGAATATTTTACTTCTAAGGAAAGTTTTAGTTAGAGTCACCATTCAGAGATATGTATTAAATAAAGTGAGAAGACCTGTGCAGAGCTCTTTAAACCCTTTTCTGTCTTTTACCAGGTTTTTAAAATTTAAAAAGTTAAATGAAATTGTATCCAAGTTTGTTTGATAGTATTCTGACAGTTGTATAATCTTGAGCATTATTTCTGTCTCTCAGGAAGCGGAATATGGTGGGCATGATCAGATAGATTTGTATGATGATGTCATCTCCCCATCTGCAAATAATGGAGATGCTCCAGAGGACCGGGATTACATGGATACTCTCCCGCCAACTGTTGGTGATGATGTGGGGAAAGGAGCAGCACCAAATGTTGTCTATACGTATACTGGAAAGAGAATTGCATTGTATATTGGAAATCTAACTTGGGTGAGTAAAGTTAAGAATTAAACTATTGCTAATTGACTTTGAACTACTCTAGTAGCTGTGTTTTTGTCTGGAGTTTTAAAATAAAAATTTGAAGTTACTATATTTGTTTTTCTAAGTGTTTCATAATGAGCAAAATCAGGTACCTTTAAAAGGCCATTAGTTTCAATTCTGTTTGCTTTTTGTGTCCTTGCATTTTACCTTTGTAGACATACCAGTTAGATGTAAAGTGTTTTTGTCTTCAGTTGCTCTGCTTTATGTTACTACACTTCAGATAGCCCAGTTTTACTAAGAAAGATGTCTACATAAGATTTCAAACCAGGATTCAGGAGATGTGAAAACAACTCTTGCTCTTAAAATATTCTTCATTTTCTAATTTAGGATACAGACTTAAGTTCCATTTTTGTTATGTTTAAAATCAGATTTATAAAAATACTGCTACATACTTTGTATGTTAGTTTGAGTTGTTTCATGAAACTTCAAGTATTGGCTATGCCCGGGTGTGGTGACGCACACCTGTAATCCCAGCACTCGGGAGGCTAAGGCAGGAGGATTGCTGTGAGTTTGAGGCCAGCCTGGGCTACAAAGTGAGCTCAAGGCCAGCCTGAACTGCATAGCGAGACCCTGTCTCAAAAAGACAAAAAAAAAAAAAAAGATTATTGGCTAAGAGCTTCATTACCTGCATGTCCAGTATATCTATTTATATTAGCATTAAACCTGAAATATTTACTAAAGCAGCCCTATAGAAGTTTTCATCTCTACTAACAGATATACTTGAAAGTTAAAGATCTAAAAGTCAAAACTCAGCACTTTTCTACTTTATTAATAGCGTTCACTTATTTATTTTTTATTCAATGCAGGGATTGAACAAACCCAGGGTCTTACACATGCTAGGCAAGTGCTCCTCCACTGGCTACATCTTCAGCTCTCTTTGAGACAAGTTCTTGCTAGGTTGCCCAAGCTGACCTCAAATTGTAATCCTTCTGCCTTAGCCTCCCAGGTAGTTGGGATTACAAGTGTGTACCCTGTGCCTAAGTAAAAAATGTTTTACTTAAAAAGATTTTTTGTTTTAAACTAAGGACCAACTTCCTACAATGTAGTATAAGCAGTCTTTGGAAACAGTAGCAATGTGTTTATGAGAATGTAGTTGCTAAAGAATTTGAACATCTGTTAGTTTTGTGACTTAGTTGTTTGCCCTAATTCATCTTGTGTCAAGTGGGAATAATAATAGGACTTACAGCATTTTAAGGGTTGTGTAGTTGATATAAAGTACATAGTAGGTACACCCTACATGTTAGTTTTTTGTCTTTCCATTTTATAGTCAAGGATAAGATGAAATTTATTTCACATAATATTTTCCTTTAAAGGGAGGAAGTGACAAGTGAGATTGGTTTTATTGAGAATTTAAAATCATAGCAGTTTAAAGCTGGAAGAAACCAGAAACTCTTAAGAGTTAAAATCTATCTTATCTCTGAGGGTATGTACTTTCTATTTCCACAACTCTTATCAGGGAATGAAGTTAGGGTCTGAGATGTTTTTGTGGTATTCTAAAAATTAGAGACTGACTGCTAGTAATTGTGCTTAAATTTTCACTGAGGAATAATTTTCTCTTTATCTTGAATTTACCTGTAAAAGCTACATTCGAGCAATAAAAATTCTGGATGTGTTCAGTGGTTAATAAGGGAAACATGTCTTACAGTGGACAACAGATGAAGACTTAACTGAAGCAGTTCATTCTTTGGGAGTAAATGATATTTTGGAGATAAAATTTTTTGAAAATCGGGCAAATGGCCAATCAAAGGGGTAAGAATTTGTGTTTCTAATATGTTAGTAGCTGTTGATTGTAATTTATAAGTTAGTTTCCCTTGATGTTGATGGTAATTACAAACATAGGACACACGATTACTTTGGAGAATCTTAGGCAGAGATTCATTATCTTTTCAGACACACCTTGTTATTTGGCACAGTAAAACCAGTGGAGTTGGGACTGTGGACAAACGAGGCCCATTTTCCTGGGTGTTCTGGGTCTGTTTGAAATGACAGTTTATGGATGTAGTAATCTGCCTGAGGTGTGGGGAATGGGTGACTGGAGGGCAGTGTGAGTGACCTGGATGTTTTGCTTTTTATTCTAGATTATGAAACCTTATAAGTGAGGTAGGATATACGGGAACATAATAAAAATACAGATACCCAAAAGTAAGAAAATGAAGTAATGGCACAAACTGAACCTTCTACATATTGTCACATATATTTACTATATATTTTTTGTTTTGGTTTGGTTTTGGTACTGGGAATAGAACTCAGGACCCTGGGCTTGCCAGGCAGGTGCTGTGCTGCTCAGCTGTATTCCTGGCATATTTACTTTATATATTCACTGTACATTTAGGGTTTTCCTTAAAAAAAAATGGCATTAAAATTTGCATGTTTTTAAAAGGTTTGACATGGAGAGTGGAATAAATATTTAGTAATAAATACCCATCTTCCCTTTCTTATTTTTTGCTACTTTGGTTGTTTCTACTTTTGCCTATCATAAATAATGTTGCAGCAGGCATAGTTTTATATAAACTTTGAGGTAGATTGATTGGTTTATTTTTTTCAGTACTAGAGATTGAACCTTATTTTAAAATTTTTTGTTTAGAGACAATTCTCATTAAGTTGCTAAGTTGTCCAGGCTGGGCTCAAACTTGGGTCCTTCCTTAGCCTCCTAGAGTGTAGGGATTGCAGGCATGCACCACCACACTGGGCTAGATTTGTTTTTAAGTGATAAATTATAACACAGGATTATGGTACATAATTTCATTTGTAAGAAGTGAACAGATAAGACATCCAGAACAGGCACATGCAAAGACAAAATGTACGCTAGTGGTTGTCAGCAAAGAGGAGGCAGATTAGGGAGTAGCTGCTCATGGGCACAGGTTTCTTCTGGGGGTGATGAAATATTCTGAAGTAAGATGGTATTACTACACAGATAAATTAGGTATAGTATGATAACAAATATCGTGGCTTTATATTGTTTCACCAGTCCCAAGTCACATCATCTCTCATCTGAGTTTTTGTAGTAGCGTCCCTACTGCCATCCTGATCTCCAGGGATGCGTTAGTTCCACACAGACATGTTTCAAGTTTCGCTTTTTGATTTTTAAAGGTAATACCAGTATTCTGCTCAGGGTCTTCAGATGGTTTCTTTTTTCAGTGTCATTGCCTTGGTCTGCAAGGTGATCTCCAGTCTGTTTCCTGACCTCTTCTACTTCGCCATGTTTTTGGACCTTGTTAGCCTCTGCTGTTTCATCAACAGATCCCTGTGTGAGAACTTTAGTTATTAGAACCTTAGCTTTACTCTTCCTTTTCTCCAAATATCTATCCACGTGGCTCATTTGTCTTTCCTTTTTCCTTTTTTGAAGGGATCTCTCATTTGATCTTGCTCAGGCTGGCATTAAAGTTACACCCAAGTATTAGAACTTATAGGCCCATGGCAGTATCCTCCTCCATGGCTTACTCTTTCGCTTCATTCAGAACTCAAACTGTTGTAAGAGTTTTATTTTCCGAACACTGTGTAAAAACATCAACCTTCATAACCTATTTCTGATGCTTTTATTTTGCTTTTTTCTTGTTTATTATCTTTCCTTACTCGATTGTAAACTCCTCAAGAGCAGAGATTTTATTTTGGTTCACATCAGTCTTAGAATATATGAGAGGAGGAGATGGTGCCCTGAGAATAACTGTTAAATGAAGTTTTCTTTTTTTTTTTTTTTGTTTCTTTGCTGCTGGGGATTAAACTGAGGGCCTTGTTTATGCTGAGTGGATGCTTTACTACTGAGCTATAACCCCAGCCCAGTTAAGTTGTTTCTAAATATTGTGATCAGATAATCCATACATTTGAGTAGAGTGAGGGATCTGGTCAAGGACCATATTGAATATTAGAGAAAAAAAGATTCTCACCTCCTAGAGGCCCCCCAGAAATACAGACTATTCTGTAATCATATTGATAGTTTAGTTTTTAAGTTACTTTTCTTGAGATGTAATTCATATACCATAAAATTCATCCCTTTAAAGTGTACAATTCAGCGATTTTTAGCATATTTATAAAGTTGAGCAACCTTTACCACCATCTTACTTCAGAATATTTCATCACCCCCAGAAGAAACCTGTGCCCATGAGCAGCTACTCCCTAATCTGCCTCCTCTTTGCTGACAACCACTAGCGTACATTTTGTCTCTGTATTTGCCTGTTCTGGATGTCTTGTCTGTTCATTTCTTACAAATGAAATCATATCACACAGTCTTGTGTGTCTGGCTTCTTTCATTTAACATGTTTTCAAAGTTTATCTGTGTTGCAGTGGGTATCAGCCTTTTATGGATAAATAATACCCCATTATATGAATGTAGCACATTGTTTTTATTTTTTTAATTTTTTTTTGGTTTTTGGTTTTTCTCCGGTACCGGGAACGGAACTCACGACCTTGCGCTTGCCAGGCAGGTGCTTTTGCCGCTGAGCTAAATCCCCAGCCCCAGCACTTTGTTTTTAAAGCCATCATCCATTAGATGATGAGCATTTGGATTCCTGCTTTTCAGTTAAGGGATATGTTCCTATAAATACCCTATTTACCAGTTTTGTGTGAATGTTTGTCTTTGGTTTTATTGGGTGTGTACCTAGGAATGGAATTAAATGGTAACTTTCTTTAACATTTTAAGGAACTGCAAGTTGGCAGCAATACTATTTCACATCCCCATCATTAACACAGGAGAGTTTTACTTTCTCTGTATCCTCACCAACACTATTTTTATGATTATTTTAGCTGTTGTAGTATAAAAACAAGCCAAATACCTGTGAGCTGATGGATGCATTTTTAGAAAAAGCGGTATTGTGGAATATTGCTCAGTTGTAAAAGGAAATGAAGTGGTGATACATCTAACATAGATGAATCTTCAACTTATTTTGCTAAGTAAAAGAAGCTGGTCATGAAAGAGAACATACTGTATAATGCTTTTTACATGACATTCTAGAATAGACAAATCCATACAAAGTAAGATTCCCTAGAGTTGAGGGATGGGAGAAAATGGGAGTGATGGCTACTGATAATGGGGTTTCTTTTTGAGAGTGATGAAAATGTTCTAAAATTGATTGTCATAATTGTTGTGAAAGTCTTGAATGTACTGAAACTATGGAAATTGTACATTTTAAATGAGTTAATTTTATGTTATGTATTATACTCTGTATTGTACATTTTCATTATCTGTTAATAGATATGAGAGTATGAACTTTGCATAGTTTTAAGAAGTATTTTCTAGTCTTTTAAGATAAAAACAAATTTAGACGATTTCTTTTTTGACAGTAACTATTAATTCCTCAACTTTCTACCTCCACCCTTTAAACACCTCTTAGATTTGCACTTGTTGGTGTTGGATCTGAAGCATCTTCAAAGAAGTTAATGGATCTGTTGCCCAAAAGAGAACTTCATGGCCAGAATCCTGTTGTAACTCCATGCAATAAACAGTTCCTGAGTCAGTTTGAAATGCAGTCCAGGAAAAGTAAGCAATCTCTCAGAGGCCTTTTAAAAAAATCTTAGATTTTAACCAGTGTTGCTTGTATTTGTTAGAAGTTATGCTAGGGAACTTATATAATGTGTACATATCTAATAGTTCATTAGAGATTCTTTTTTCTTTCTCTAAAATCCTTGCTGTTATGTGATTTTGTCATTGGTTATGACTGTGGACCCACGTCCTGGACCCTGGTCCTGTTCCATTTTTTGCAAGCTTGCATAGTCCCAACAGTGTGATAGTTGCAGGTTCTTTATTGCTGTCATTATTGTCCTGTCTTTCCCATATTAAAGCAAGAAAGAAACTACATTTTAATCCTTAGCTTGAAGGAAAGCTGTGTGGATATGTGTTGTGGTTGGGGAGAGACCACTGATAATCAGAAAATATTTGTTGGTTTTCTGCTTGGCACCAAGACTTTTCATTTTATTTTGTTTCTTTTTGTTTCTTTGAGACAGGGTCTCGCTATGCAGTTCAGACTGGCCTTAAACTCATTTTATAGCCCAGGCTGGCCTTGAACTCACAGCGATCCTCCTGCCTCAGCTTCCCAAGTGCTGGGATTACAAGTGTGCACCACCACACCCAGCGGCACCAAGATTTTTCACCACTTGTTACAGTGAATGTAAAAAAGACTTATTACATACTTCCGAATGTTAACATTTAAAGAGATAAGATGGATGATCGTGTAATTAACAGAAATTCAAGTGGCTGTTTTTCTTTTAATGTTTTAGCATGTAAGCTAAAGAATAACTGAAGAATATATTAAAATATTATATATTAACTGAAGAATGTATTAAAAAATTTAAATGATCTGTACAGTTGAAATTAAGATTTCTGTTGAAGAAAGTTGGTCTTGGCTGCTGTAGGGTACTGGTATTTTGAAAGCAACTCATTTTACTCTGTGGAAATTACTTTTTTTGAAAGAACATTTATGCCTAGTTATTCAAGACTTAAAAAAGGACTTAGTAGGTATCAGTATTTTCCTTATCAATAATTCTCGAGTGGTTTGCATAGGCCCAAGGCTTCTGCAAATTAATATATCGTGTAAGTGAACTTAGAAATAAAGTTGTTTCTAATAACAGTGGTTACATTTCAGAGAACTGTTTTAATGAGTGCTACTTAAGAGTATTTGGATGTTTGCAGCTACACAATCAGGACAAATGTCTGGGGAAGGTAAAGCTGGTCCTCCAGGAGGCAGTTCACGTGCAGCATTTCCACAAGGTGGTAGAGGACGGGGCCGTTTTCCAGGGGCTGTTCCTGGTGGGGACAGATTTCCTGGGCCAGCAGGACCAGGAGGGCCACCCCCACCTTTTCCAGGTAAAACTTCTCTTAAATTATTAAGGATATAATATGTCTACCTAATACCTCTTTTCCTTTTCTCTCTTTTTCAAGTAATGTATTATTAATGTGACTTACTCTCCTTGTTATGCTATTTTTGGAATCCAGGAAATTTGATCAAGCATCTTGTTAAAGGAACTCGGCCTTTGTTCCTGGAAACTAGGATTCCATGGCATATGGGGCACAGCATAGAGGAATTACCCATTTTTGGCCTAAAAGGTCTTTATTTTTCTCCAAACTTGCTTGACTTATATATAGAATATTTACATCCATCTTATTTTCTTACCTCTTAAAAACCCTTTGAAGACCATTTTTCCTTGTTTCACTTTCTAGCTTGGCATCAGAGTAGAATATAAGGTGGGTGATTTCAATGTAGAGTGTGTATGCTGAAAGATGGAAAATATCTCTAAGCATTGTAATTTTTAAAGTTCTGGTTTCAGTAATTTTTCATAAGCATAAATTGAGCTATTTAAATTTGTAAGGTTATCCTTCACCTCTGTAGTTCTTAGTATAGCATTTACAATATGAGTTTCATTTAAAGAGAAAGAATCTTGGTTTTTAAGTTATGCTTTAAGAGTATAATCTTGGCATGGAAAGTTAAAATATCTTTATTACTGAAGTGTTTTTTTTTCTCTCTCTCTGTCTCTCTCTGTCTCTCTCTCTCTCTCTCTCTCCCCCGAATCCCTTCTCTATTCTGTAGCTGGACAGACTCCACCACGTCCACCATTAGGTCCCCCTGGCCCACCTGGCCCACCAGGTCCTCCTCCTCCTGGTCAGGTTTTGCCTCCTCCTCTAGCTGGGCCTCCTAATCGAGGAGATCGCCCTCCACCACCAGTTCTTTTTCCTGGACAGCCTTTTGGGCAGCCTCCATTGGGTCCACTTCCTCCTGGACCTCCACCTCCAGTTCCAGGTTATGGCCCCCCTCCTGGCCCACCACCTCCACAGCAGGGACCGCCGCCACCTCCAGGCCCCTTTCCACCTCGCCCACCTGGTCCGCTGGGGCCACCCCTTACACTTGCTCCTCCTCCGCATCTTCCGGGACCACCTCCAGGTGCCCCACCGCCAGCTCCACATGTGAATCCAGCTTTCTTTCCTCCACCAACTAACAGCGGCATGCCTACATCAGATAGTCGAGGTCCACCACCAACAGATCCATATGGCCGAGCTCCACCATATGATAGGGGTGACTATGGTCCCCCTGGGAGGTGAGTTAGTATGTAGTAATGAAAGTGTTTGCTCAGTAAAAAAGAAAAAATGATTCTGGGCAATCTGCCGGCACCCAGGAGGCTGAGGAAGAAGGATTGCTGTGAGTTCGAGGCCATCCTGGACTACATAGTGAGTTTTGAGGCCAGCCTGAACTGCATCGTGAGACCCTGTCTCAAAAAAAGAAAGAAAGAAAAAAAAGGAGAAATATAGCATTTCTACCTTCCAGAAAGATTGGGTTTCTAAGCTGCTACTTTATTTCAGCTGAAAGACATTGTAAGAGAATTTTGCTTAGGCTTAGCCTTGTTCTCTTTGTAGGACAAATAGCATACTTCAGTCTGGCAAATAACTACATAAAGGACTGCTAGTATGAATTGGTTTATACTGTTTTGAGTAACTTAGAAAATCTATTGAGTGACAATTAAAAATTTTTTTTAATAGGGAAATGGATACTGCAAGAACACCTTTGAGTGAAGCAGAGTTTGAAGAAATCATGAATAGAAATAGGGCAATCTCAAGCAGTGCCATTTCAAGAGCTGTGTCTGATGCCAGTGCTGGTTTGTATATTTTTCAAGTATCAGTATTTCTTACTTATGTTGTATGTCCTCTTTTAATGTCCCCAAATCATCACCTATGACTTACTTAAAAAGCATTGAAGAGAGCTGTATCTTAGTGTAGACTGGAAAGAACCTTGATGTTAAGTAATTAGATTTAGATTTAATACTAACTTTAACATTCAGTGTGAGTTCAGAGACCTTACGGCAGCTCATTTATTTTTGTATTTGCAAAATGATAACTAGTTTTACACAGCTACTACGTGACTCATAATTTCAGTAACATGAAACCCTTTTGCAAATTTTGAAACACTTAAAAAAGGCATTAATCTTCTGTGGTTACTTTAAAATTTAATACTGTGTTATAAGATGCTTTTATTATATTTAGTCACAAGTGGTTTGATAGCATTTCAAAAACAAAATTTGACATTAAATGTTTTCTTCTTCCCTACAGGTGATTATGGGAGTGCTATTGAGACATTGGTAACTGCAATTTCTTTAATTAAACAATCCAAAGTATCTGCTGATGACCGTTGCAAAGTTCTTATTAGCTCTTTGCAAGATTGTCTTCATGGAATTGAATCCAAGTCGTATGGTTCTGGATCGAGGTAAAACTTTCCTGTCTTAATGACTTTGTGAAGCTCTAGTTAACAAAAGGAGAAAATACTGTTTGGGTTTTTTAAGGAAGATTTTGGTTTTACTTTTTACTTAGCAGCCGCAGTGAATTTTTTAATACTGAGTCAAATGGCAGGTTGTTTGCTTAAAAATACTTCAAAGGTTTCCACTTAGAATAAAATTGTAAATGTTGAGGTACCATCTGGCTTCTGTTTCCTCTTAGAGTAAGGCTTATGTTTTTAACCTTACCTTTTACCTCTCCCCATGTACAAATTAGTCTCCCTTTTTTTCCTTCTGAACACGTCTAACATTTGACCACCTCACTGATTTAGTGCTTGACATTCCTTCTGTTGGAAACCCTTTTTGCTGTCTATTCACATATTTGGCTTCATATCCATCATGTCTCAGTTTAATTTCATTTTTGAGAGTCATCTCCAGGTTAGTTTGTCATGTCATATTTATTTCATTCATATATTGCATGTACTATAACTTTGTTATTAATGGCTTTTTTTTCTCATTAGAATATATTTGAATGATGAGAATGCCCTTAGCTATCCGGTTCACTACGGAAGTGTATTTACATTTAAACATTGCCTGATACAGAATGTTTCTTGAATAAGTGGATTTTTTTAATAGGTTTTTTTAAATTCAGTAGTTCTTTTTTTTTTAGCATTACTGCTAATCTTGACATTTTGTATATTCTTGATACTTAATCTTCACATAATGTTCTTAAATCTGTCTTAAGTGTACTTTATCTGGAAGTAGAGTTATCTTGATAAAGTTAATAGAAAGAAGTTTATCTTGGGCATGGCCTTCAACTTTGTTTTAACCAGTTTGATCCATTGTAAGAATCATTGTATCTGAAAAAATTTATCATAGCTAAAGATCTTACCATGTATTATCTTTATTTTTATTTTTTTTGAGACGTTTCACTATGCAGTTCAGGCTGGCCTTGAACTCACTTTGTAGCCCAGGCTGGCCTCGAACTCACAAGCGATCCTCGTGCCTCAGTTCCCGAGTGCTGGGATTACAGGCGTGTACTACCACACCGGGCTCATGGGCTATCTTTAATGTTAAGTCCAGAGTCAGAAATTCTACCATGATTGAGGAATTCAACACCTAATAATGTTTAAATAAGGCTGTCTTGTTCAGAAATAAACTACAGACAGTTGGTATTTCCTTATTATGAATTTGAAATTTCTAAAACGCTTTTTAAGCTTTAAACTTTGGTTAAATTTTTTTTTTTTTCTTCAAAGGCAGTTCATGAAAATATTTCTACTTATAAAATACAATAGGAATGCAATATCAACCCTCTGTACGGTCGGAATTATTAGGCATTTTGCCTAACCTTCACACCTTCACACACATGAACACAGTTTCTTAGTGGAGTGTAGATAAATAATATTTTGGTTAGCTAGGAATGCAAAACAGATACTTAAATACAGTGGCCCCTTCATATCTGAAAGGGTTGATTTTAGGATCCCTGAGAATAACATCATATGTTGATGCTTAAGTCTATTTCATAAAATATTTGTATATAACCCATATACACCTTCTATGTACTTAATTTTTCCTCCTTCCTGCTGTTTACTCCTGTGTACTTTAAAGCATCTCTTCTTCATTTAAAATACCTGATAGAAATGCTATGTAAATAGTCATTATTCATATTGTTTAGGGAATAAAAAATTTTACATGTTCTCCTATAGTTGTTGTTTTTTGCCAAATATTTTCAATCTTTGGTGGGTTGAATCTGAATGGAGAGCCCACAGATATGGAGAGCCATCTGTATACATTTGGATAACTTACATTAATAGGTGGTAATACTCATGTTTAAGCCCCATTGTACATTGGGTGATTTTTGTGAACTTTTTACTTAATCTGCATTCTAGATGTTAATTTGATATTTTCTCTACTTTCCTGTTTGTTTATTCAGTAACTTATGTGTGCTTTAGGATACTAATTTAAATAGGTGATGTGATATATTTGTGTGTTTTATTCAGTTGTTTTGCAGATATTTTTAAAAATGAAATTTTTGGTTTATGCTTATTGATGATTTGATTATGGACAGGACAGGATAGTCAGTCTCAACTATGTCATACAATATTTTGCTGCCTTAGACTTTTTAAAAAATTGTATTACCTAATTTTGTTTCTTATGGAGAGTTGGTATCTGACATAAAACACCAAAATACAGTATTCCTTCTTATTCACAAGACTTGTTCTAAGACCACTGTAAATCACTGTCGTCTCCATCTTAACTAAGTACTTAACCACACACTGGCTGTAACTCTTGGATTTTGAGGTTTTACCATAAAAGTAGCACAGATTTCTTTTTCCTTCACAATTTCACACTTCCTACTCTAGATCTTAGCAACTTGAGTAATGATTTTTTCTTTCCTTATGAAATCAAGAACTTTTTTTGGCTTTTCACTTGAGGAGCCATATCAAAATTGCAGAGTTACTACTCTTGCCCTTTGGGGTCATTGTTAGGGTAAGATAAAGGCTACTTGGGTATGAGAGGTACAGAGCTACAACAGTCTGAAGGACTAATGGGCAGGTGCCATATACAGGGTGGCTGTGCTGCACCAAGGGGTGACTCACATCCCAGGCAGAATGGAGCCAGGGTTATGTGAGATTTCATCACTTTATTCAGAATGGTATTCAGTTTAAAAGTTACTGGTTAACTGTAAATAAGTGAAACCACAAGGGGGGAGGGAAACCATATTGAGTATGTTTGTAACTATCTGATTACGGAGAGCATTAATCCAGTAATTTCTTTTAGAAGACGTGAACGATCAAGAGAGAGGGACCATAGTAGATCACGAGAAAAGAGTCGGCGTCATAAATCCCGTAGTAGAGATCGCCATGATGATTATTATAGAGAGAGAAGCAGGGAGAGAGAGAGACACCGTGACCGGGACCGAGACCGAGACCGAGAGCGTGACCGAGAGCGAGAGTATCGTCATCGTTAGACGGTAGGTATTCTTGTTCCTGTTACATTTAACGTGAGTATTATTAACAGTGATTATAACCCCAGGGCTGTTGTTTATACAGTATATACCTACATTTTAAATGGTCCAAGTACTTGTTCTGAATTTAATCATCTGGAATCACCTGAGACAAATAGCAGGTAAGTGATCAGAGGTAAAAATTTTAACGTTTTATCATTCAGTATTCTGTTGCTGAGTTACCAGTTTTAGGTTTCAGATTATTAATGGTCTTAAAGCAAGAAAAACAATCAAGAGGACTCATTATGCACTTCTAAAATCTACAAATTGGGGATTTTGTAATCACATACATAATTTGTATGTGATTTAAAATACTTACACAGGGAGTTCAGATATAAATGTGCTTGGATTTTTTTGAAAATGAAGTTTTTATGTTGCCTTCAGCTAATTTTATTTGTCCCTAAAACTTGTAAAGAAAATTTAACACTGTAATAGTTTATAAATACAAGAGAATGTTTTTTCAACTTTGAAAGAAATTTTTTTTTTTTTAATTATTTTTAGAAAGGGGACTGTGTTCCTGGCATCTAAGTTTTGTTTTAAAAGAAATACTGTTAATTTGCAAAGAAAATATATAAGTTGCTAAATTAAAATGGGTTCAGGTTACATATTTAAAATTTTTAAATTGTATCAAGTGATACATCCCCCATTAGAATTACCTTGAAATAATTTTCTTCGATATTTCATTCATAAACCATAATCATTGTCTTTTTTCTGTATTTTACAACTATTTCTTGTGTACATTTTTCATAAAGTGGGGAGAGTTGTCTGTTTATACTTCATTTCCACATGTAATTTTATTTTTGTATTTGTGAACAGCATTTATTCATGTGAAGGGGGAAACTGAATCTTGTGCATGTGACACAGAGATTACTCTGTAAGCAAAATTTTTTTTTCATATGTTGGTGGCATATCCACATTGAATTAGGCTTAAAATAAACCCCTCATAGATAAATACTCTTTATGTGATTATTTTTAGTGATCATGGAATACAGTGAAAATTCAGTCTTGGTAATTGTTAGTATTTAAATTGTAATGGAGAAAACCACAGGCTTTATCAAGTGTGTGTAACTTTCTGACAGAATAGCAGTTTCTTTAACCCTAACATAAATATTAGCAAATGATCCATTTTGAATTATACTTGTAGAAAATAAGCGTGTAAATCTTATGAGACACAAATAGCTGTTACACTATTTGCAATTTTGAAGGCTTTTTGAATTCGGAAGGCCCATTCTGATAGTGCTTGCATTTTGAGTATATAGCTTAAATATGTATCAAAAATTCTTACTCAGTTTTCCGTGTATTGTATTAAAAATTTAGTATGTCTCAGAACATTTTAATATGAGACAAAGCATCTTCCATTTTTAAAACTAATTTACTGAAATTGGTAATTGCTTTTGAATGTAAAAATAGTGTTGTATCATGTAAATCTAAGCAGTAAAATTTGCGGATGTAGCTTTTTTAAAGATGGAGCTTTTTATCCCTGAGTTGAATGCATCTTATCCCATCTTTTGAAAAAAATTATTAATGTTCAGTAGTTGCTTGTGAATTGATGCCAGGATATTACTTGAGATGTTAACTCTATAGCCATTTTATTTGTAGGGTGGTTTCAAGTTCTGTAAGTTATTTTCTAGACTTTCCTAAGTTACCAACTTTAGTTACTGAAGACATGATACTGAAATTTGAATATATTTTTAGTCATTTCCAAAATTGATGTACCACTTACCTACCCATCAAGGAAGGGTCTTCTAAATCAGTTTATACCAGAGATTAATGACAGTTTTCTTACTAGTTTTAGTAAAACTAGAATAGTCAACCAGGTAAATTCCTCTGAAAAGGCCATTGTTAATTTTAAGTAGCTTGAATATACATTCCAGCATGAGTGGACCTAATATATCATGACTTGAGTTTCATTACATTCAGACATTAACTATGAATTCCTCATGTGAAAACGATTGTGGACATTTTTCTTAGTCACTGATGTATCATACCAAAATTCCCATGTTTTGTTTGTACATTAATCAGAATTGAGTTGTAATATTGTTATATGCCTTCATCCAAGCAAAATTTTACATAAATCTTTCCAATACAAAAAGAAAATTGTTATTTTGGATTACTGTATCTTTGCTATACCCAACAGTATTTATTGTGGAAGTAGACATGAAGTAGGGGTGGGAACTGAAATTAAATATATTCAAGTGAAAAACTTAAAAAAGTATTTGCAAATTTTGTTACCATCATAATAAGGTCTGTTGTTGACCTTTTTAGAAGTTTTTAAATATGAGTCCTTTTGAGCTTTCATGTAAATCTTAAATGGAATAAGTGGAATAAGAGTCACTTGAAAGCTAAAGTGAATGTCAGTAGTAAGTTGGTGCATAAATGATAATGTAATCTGTTATTAAAATGGTGATGAATGGCTGCAAGGTTAAGCTCTTAATTTAACTGGAAATTTAATGATGTTGGCAAACTGTTAATGTCTGTCCCATCTTAATTTTTTTGTGTTTAAACTGTTGAATAATGTTAATTACATTCTCATTTAAAAATGTATTAGTTTTCTCAGAAAAATTCAGTATCTAAGTTCAAATAGATTATAATTTAATGAGAAAATATCAGTATTGTAAATTTCCGTATGTAAATACATTGCGCTTCATATTCTGTATTTTTTGCCTCTATTCTGAGACCACTCTGAGCAAAATAAAGTGATTTTAAGTTGTATATGTCTTACAGAAATAATTTTACCTTCAGAGTTTACTTACTTTAAGGTTGGATTCTTCTTATCACCTGTTGGAACAGTCCTACCCAGCAAATTTATGTTGTTTATTTTTTATACTAAAGAGTAATTAAAACAAATTATTTAAAAAATACTCTTTACTCAGACTTTCCCTCTCCCCATTTTATGAGGTTTTACATATTCTCAAATCATTATACATTTATCAATAAATGTTTTGTGTATGGGCATTTGGATCAAGTAACCATACTTCCTTGACTGTGATCACTTCTACCATATGTATCATGCTGTTAGATTTTGTTATTACTGCACAGGATTTTAGATGCTTTGTATTACTTACTCAGCTTACAGTTTTGTGTTAGTTTGGGTGAAAACCAAAAATGCTAAAAGAGTAAAAATTCTTTACTAATATGTTAAAAGACATTATTATCTCCTTAGGAATTAGTGTTACACGAGGCTTTTGTGAAAATCAAATTGTCCTGGTTGCCTGGTGAATGATGACTGGTTCTAATAAGATTTAAAAATTATTTCTGCAACTCTTAGATCATCTGAGATCTACCTCATATTTCCCCGTTATGTGTTTCCTTGTGTTTACCCATATATCGTAAGTACTGTTTCATCTGGATATGCTAGCTTTCAATTACTTCAGCTCTAATTTCCTTGCTTTTAGTATTATTTGCAAACCCTGTCTGACTGTACAGCTATCTGCTTGCAGTGACAAGAGGGTAGGAAGTGATCCTGTGAATGGATGATGTATTTTGCTCACTGTGGTTGAAGAATAGTTTCATTTATAAATGATTAATGCTTTGTTTAAAAAAATTCAATGCTAATGTGAGTCACCTTGCTCTCTCACCTTCATCTCAGTGTGAAATTTACTACCGGTGCTTCAGTTTGTAACTTAGATTGTTTTGAATAATGTTTTGAATGAATATTTAGTTAGTATTGTTTAAAGAAAACCTAATAACCAATAAAGGGTAAGGGTACCATCTATGCTATACAAATTTGTGAGTTTGCCCTCTGTGGTAGGATGTTTGAACTGTCACAGTGGATTCTGAATACCAAGTAGCTTATTTTGAAATGTCCATTTTGTGAATCTTTTAGAGGCAAAGTGATTTTTTTTTTTTTGTGATGGAGTGTATTTCTATTATTTAGTAGATTGCCTAGAGCAACAATTATGTATATGTTTTATATTGAGTGATAAAATGGTTCTTTGAGATGAGGTAAGTACTATGTCCACAGGTAGAAAGATGAAGTGTTTTGATAGCAAGGAACTTTCTGTAAACATTTACAATAAACAAAATTGCTTCTGTGCACTATGTTGTAAGAAGACATTTTTCAAAGAGTTATTAACATGTAATTTAGACCCTTGTTTTTCTTGCCTACTTTATCTCCATTCCTTTAATCAAAGGAGAAATTTTCAGATAGAGAATAGTAAATTTTGTTCCACTGAATTAAAAACAGTACAACTTTGTAATTACATAAACACTTTTATTTCAACTTATTAAAACCTATAAAAAAGCTCTATCAAATTTACATTTGTCTTAAAAGATGACTACCATGACTTTAAATACTAATGCTAACAAATTTGCTTAGGTAAATTTCTAACAGAAACACTCAAATTTGGGTAATAGTGGCTTGGTGTTATATTAATTACTTCCAGATGCAGGCACTGCTCTGTTTTGACCTTTTATTTGATGCTCACATTAATTTACAGACTTTGGGAGCTCTAGATTCCATGTGTCATCTTAGTTGTTTAAATAGCTGTTTACACAACTTTTTCTTTTTTTATAACTGATAGCTAAAGCAAGTAATTGTGTGGCTTTGACATAGATTTGAGCAAATGATTTTCTGAGAACATGAGCATTGAATGTATTTGTTACTTTAAAGTTTCTTTTTGATATATTTGTTTATGTAGATGTCTGTTTAGACATTTGAGACTGTTATATGGAATTGGATTATTGGAAATGGGTTGTATTGCCTTTAAATTTGCTTCCTTTTGAGACTGTAAAATTTGTATATCCAAATGGATAAATAAATGTAAAATGTTTAGAAATAGAAATGACTATCCCCCTAATTTTATATCTGTGTCATGAAAATTAGGATCAGTAGTAAAGACTTATCTATGAAGTATAATCAAGCAAGAAATAAGATGTATATTGTAACTTCATAAGTAGGATTTACTATATGAAAAGTAGTAAAATTCTCTGTTGGAATAAGAGACAGTTGCAGTATACAGCATATATTTTTTGGAAGAATTGAATATTTTTGTGTTGCTCACTGATTTTAAATAATTTTTCCTCTTATTGACCCTCTTCATCCTTTTCAGCACAAAAAATTTAAGGAAATAACATGTTTTTGTAGCAAGGTTTATTGATTTCCCAGTTTTAAAATTAAAAAATATGCTGTATGTAATACTTTCACCAGCTTTTCCAAGTGTATTGCTGAGCCCGAGGTATAGTTTAGTGGTAGGCTGGCCTCATGGCTTAGCATGGCATGTGGTCCTGGGTTCAGTCCCCCAGCTAGCTAGGTAGCTAAAACAATAAGACAGAGGGACAGATAAGCATCACAAGTGCTAAGCAGTTGAGAGCTGACACTTTACATTGTTTTCTATTAAATAATTCCACTAAAGCTTTATTAGCATAAGATGAAGGTAAAATAAAAGGTAATAGAAATTCCTTGAAAAGTACAGGTATATAGAAACTATTTAGAAGAGAAAGCTCTTGATTTTAACATTTGTTGTTTTCCTTGTGTAGTTGTAAGGTCTTATGTTTTTAATTACTAGGCAGTATGAATGGTATGATGCTCTGTGTTTTCAACATAGGTGAAAAAGAACATAAAGAGATAAAATTTGTAATTGTGATAGAAATTACCCTTAATAGCAGAGCAGCCAGGTGTGGTAGCATATACCTATAATCCTGGCACTTGAGTGATTGAGGCGTGAGGATTGCTGAGAGTTGGAAGCCAACTTGGGCTATGGTAGTGAGTTCAAGACCAGCTTGAACTCTGTATGACTATTGTTCCCCCCACCCCCAATTTTTTTTTTTTTTAATCTTTGTGGCAAAGTATCACTAAACATTGTGCCCTTTAGACTCTTAAATCACTTTTATAATGCCTTCTGGGAATTTATATTTTAAATAGCTGATATTTCATTGATCATTTATATGCAAGTTAGTTGAATCTTTTGTGAAACTCTACCTGGAGTTTGCATATATATGTATTGAGATTTTAGTTTATCAATTTTGTTTCTTCTCTTTTTACTTTATGTGAGTTTTCAATGAAATTTATCATTATAGTTTCCCAGTTAGCTTATTTTTGGTTAGTTTATATACTATATTAGGTATTTCAGTATAGGTGGAATAGAGTAAAAGTTAATGTCTCACATTGTATTATGTCTGAAGATTTGTATGTGGATGTCATTTATTTAAATGTCCATACTGAGCTTTCTATTTATAAATTTTGTAACATGGAGCACTATTTGATTTATAACAATTGCAGAAGTTCCTGTATGCTGTCAAATAAAGTCAATTTGTAAAATTTACTGCATTTTATATTCAACTCAGCGCTTAATTGTTAAATGAGTTCATATAGAATTGACATGTGGGTGAATAAAAAAGATCTACATTAAAATCATCCAGGCATTTTTCCATTTATTTTTGTAGAGTGCATATTTTAGAAACTGGCTTTGACTGTTTCCATCATCACAGAAACAGTAGCTGCTGCGTTTTCATTTCTGTTTCAGTCATTGAATTTGAAAGACAGTATTTAAGAGTGAAATCAAAATGTCTCATTTTGAATCATGAGATGAATTGGGAGCATTTCTCCACCAGAAAGGCAGCTACTGTTTCAGTTAATTCTTATTTTATGTTAGAATACGTAACAGAGAAGTAGATGCACGACTTGTGTATGTATAGTTAAACCAGCATTTTTCTGTGTATTATGGGGAATAGCAAAATCTACATCACAAATTTTGACACATTACAGCTGAAGGAAGAGGAACACCTTTCAAGATAAAAGTCTTCATGGGGGAAAAATGACGCTTGTCCAGCAGTTTGCTTCTTGAGATTGAACTGAACCTGTAAGGATTCATGGATAAACTGAACAGGAATAGATCTGAATAAAGCAAATCTGCATAAATGGTAACCAGTAGCTCTACTTTTATTTTTTATGTTGCTTAACTGTTTTATTTGAAGGAAACCTGTGTGATTTAAAAAGTTAATAGCTTTTGCAACTTTATTACTGGTTATATACATTTGGCCATTATAATGTGCAAGCAATTGGAAAAACAAAGTCAAGTAAATGCTTGTTTTTATAGTAGTTTGTTCTTGTTAAAAATGTTCATATGATAATGTCTGTAAACAGCACCACTTTGATTACAATAGATGTAGTGTTGTAATAAACTGTTTCATGGGGCTGATGTGTAAAGCTGTTCAAGTTATTTGATGTTTACACCTCAGGGAAAGTCTTGTGTTCAGCAATACCTAAAGATAATGTTACTATGATAACATTTTTACTGTCCTTTAAAAGAAGCATTGCAATAGCGTTTTTGGATATGCATCAATCTACTCATGCGTTCAGTGAATTAAACATAACTGATTAATGTCTCTTGCCCTTGGTTTTGATATTAGAATAGGTGATTACATGGATATTTAATATTTCTATATTCTGCTTTTCTAGCTGTTTTTACCTAGTTAGCTTGTGACTTTGATGAATGGTATATACTTCTAAAAACTTAAAACTCGGCAGACATGGCAATCCAGTCAGTGTTTCAGGGGTCAAAAAACTTTGAGTTTTAACATGTTAGTAAAAACTCACATGTATTTGCTAGGGTAGTGCAGCTTAATTACAACACCTATACACTGAAACATGGTTGTGAACTGCTGGCGTTGAAAGACAGATTTTGACAATTCTAATTGATCTGTAGTATTTGGTGTTTCTTATTGATGGTGCTTATGGTTCAATTTTGAAGCCATAACAGCCATGCAGCAGATTTGTGTGAATAAGGAGAGCCTTAGTTTTATTTCCCCATTGGTATAGATTTCTGAAGGATGTGATGTTTGTTAACACGGGGTGGTGTTGTCCGTTGTCAGTACTGGGAGATTTATAGGTATCTTCAACAGTTCAAGGAATTCTATGTATATCCATGTAACCTGTTAATTCATGCTAGAATTAGATTTTTTTTTGAACCTGCCTTATGTAAAGGCCTGTATTTAAAGCACCTGGCTAGCATGTGTTCTTACTTGCAAAATTAGCAGAGGCAGAATGTCAATTTGATTAGATATTTTTATAGGAAGGTAATTGTGAACCACTACTTAAGAAATTTGAGTTTAAAGCACTTAAATTTGTTTTTAATATATTTTTAAAATCTGATGATCTTTAATAGATCTGATAGTATACACATTGGTTTTTAAAGTATAACCAAATTTTGGGACAATACTTAAAAGTATGTAAGTACCTTAGATAATACATAATGTCCAACTGTAGGAGCCCTCTAAAGATGTGCACTGCCGTTGTTCATTTTCATCTTGTCTGCTGTCAAACTACTCATAAAATTAGCTGCTTCAGATTATCCATATTACCACTAGCTTTATTTTAAAGCATTTCATGAGTGGAGCACTTGTGCACGGGATCATTGGTGTTTACTGCAACTGTTCACTCTCAGAAACAATTTTTGAAGTGTTTTATCTTGTTGAAAATGCAGTTGCCTTTTTAATACTATTTGAGAGTTGTATCAGAATCTTGTTTTGTGTATAAGTGTTGTAAGTTTTATCATTTTTTTAGCTTTTGTATATTTTAATCACAATGCCCTATGTTGAAGTCGTTTGGATATATATATAACACAAGGGAAATTAGTTAATAGTAAGATTTAAAGGTAAGTAAAATATCCATGAGAGTAAAAATTTCTCTGAACAATTTTAAAATGGAATCACAAAACTATACTTGAAAAGAAACTGGAAATTTTGTACTGATTTATTCTTACATTTTACCTTTTCATTTTTTTATCAGTGGAACTGCTTAATTGTTCCTTCTATATCACTCTTCTGCTTGTTTGGCTGATTTTATTATATGACTTTTGTTTTAGAGAGTCTGAGTGTACTAAAGTTGTTTGCTGCTAGTCCATTATTTTAAGTGTTGTCAGGAAGAAATGACTTCTTGGTTTGACCAAGTACTTTTGCAAAATACTTCTTCACCTAATAGAACATGAATGTATAGTAGTAAAGGTAAAAATTGCAAACCTTGTTTTATTTGTTATACCTTGTCATTGTTTATGAGCTGATGTTATTTGAGAAAAAAAATTTTTTAATGTGTAGAAACAATCCAAAGAGATACATCTTTGCAAAGACACCAAAAAAGAAGAGTGTGTGTGTCTTAGAGACCTTTTTATTTTTTCTTCATTTATAATACCTGTAATGGATATGAGAACAAATGAGTTGAATTTTAAACCATAGCATTTATATTAGTGCTGTGCAGTCACATTCCTTTCAGCTAGCAGTAAAATTATAGATGAGTGGTACAGCACATGAATTGTATTGCTTCTGAAGCAACACTTTGAGTTGAATGTGCTGCTTTTGATTAAAGAAGTATGTTATAGAAAGGATATTCCAGTGTAAACTTACAAGTGTTTATTTTCCTAAGCAAGATTTGGAGTAACTTGCTGTGACCATCGACCATAGGTTAGCCCACTTAATGCCCCTTCATGTAGAATGTTCTTAAGCAGTTACCTATAATTTGGAGTTCACAAATAACATGTAGCTTAAGGTATTATTTTCATTTGATTCTCCTGTGGAGAATGCTGTTCTACTTTTTTACTGGTTAAGGTCAGTTCTAAAAGTAAAATTGGAGGTTTAATGTTGTATAATATTTTATAGTGAAAGGGGGAAATTATTGAAAGGGTAAAGAATTTTTCTTTCCCTTATGTATTTAAATGTGCCAATAACCGAAATACATACTGTTTTATATGATGAGATGCAACGACAAGGCTTTTCTGTTGCTCTTGGCATTTTGGTTTTCATACCTGATTGGTCATTGCATTTTCTGTATCTTATAAGGTGGCTCCAATTTTGTGTTTTAAGCATTGGCTTAAATTATTTTAAGAGGTTATTTTAAGAGGAAGATTATGTCCTGATTCTTTACTGGGAATGCAGACTTGAGATTCTCACTGTTTTATAGATAACTGCTTTTTAAATTTTATTCACTACATTTATTTGCATCCCATAGCCGTTTGTAAATGTTTCTTCCAGTTGTATGTACTTAAATGCACGCTTATCCATTGTACATATTAGACATTTTTTTGTGCTAAAATATATTAAGTGGGATTTTTGTAGCAAAGCATTCTATTTTTCTGTTTTTATGGTGTGTGTGTGTTTGTTTTTTTTAACATTAACTTTCATTTTAAACACTGGTGTATTCGTTTTATTTTTTAGTAACCTGACTCTTAGAAGCCTTAGACTTTTAAAGTGAATATTCAGCCAAAAATTGTATGTTTATTAAGATGTGGCCTTACCTTGACATTCCTTGTGTTCATAATGTGAGACTTTATTTAGAGAAACCAAGATTTAGGATTAAAGTTTGATCTTAAGTTGAAAGAGAAAATGTGTTAAAATGTCTAGGCTTCTGAGAGTAAGTTCTTGTACTCTTCTTTCTTGGCATTAGAAAGAAGCGATACGAACTTTTGTGAATATTCAAAATATCCAGGCAGTTGTAGCCTGTTCAGATTGATTTAGGTTTGTTTTAACTAATGTTTCTTTAAAAGTTTCAGGTTGTTGACATTCACAGAGTACATCACTACTATGGTTTTTGTATAGGATGTATGAACAGTTGGTTATAAACAGATTCATGGTTTTAAAGACTTTCTGGTACATGAATACTGCAATGGAGGCTTTTAAAATATTAGATTGAATTTAATTGAAGTCATACAAATCTTGTAATGGTATCTTTGGATAGTAAACCTTAGAGTTTTTCATGTGGGAGAATCCTAAAACTCCACCATGGGTGTAAATGTTTTACATTAATTTCATAATTGGACAGACCCTACCTTTAGTAAAACATTTCACTTTGAAGGTTTGTTCTTTGTTGCACTGTTACTGAGTAACGCTTCTGAGCATTCTGTAAGCTAATTTTAAAATACAATGGTAAATTCATGTTTATTTTATTTATTTTTTTTACTTTAAAAATTGTAGTACTCAGGTGGTATTTAGTAGAAAATGATCTTTGGAGTAAATCATATGTATTCTAAGGAATGCATCTATAACATTGATAACTTTAGCCTTAAAAAAAAGGTCAATTATTCCTTCTTTCCTCTGCATCCCATGGTAAATTAGCAAGATAGTTTACAGCCCACTGCAGCCTTAAAATGTTTCACAATTTTTAATGAAAGCCTTTAATAACGACAAAAATTGTATCGTATTACCAGTCTCCCATCAATTATTGAATCACTGTTTGTAAATCATTTATCTAATATTAGAAGGCCAAAGAAAGTCTTAAAATTTTAGCTATTGACTCTGGTGACTTCACAGTAAGATTTCTGTGCAAAAGGTAAGGTGATTATTTGATCAAATAGACATCTTTTTTGTTGCCATGAGAGCTGGACTTCCATATTAGCTTCTATTAAAAATCTTACTCTCATTTATTAAAATGTAATTACAATTTTGTTTAATGTTTACTGTCCTTTCTTTCTTTAGCATGTAGGTGACTGTTGAGCAGTTTGCTGTATGGCCATTGCTGGTCTAAACTGCACTGGTAACAAGCATGGTCTTGACCTTGTACTGAAAATAAAGCAAAGTTTTCATAATACTGTGCAGCATGTCCTTTTTCACTTACAATTTGCTGGCTGTTGGGTACGGTTTAAAATAATACCGATTGGCAATATATGGCATAACATAATCAAAGACTACTGTGTTTTGTGTTTAAGCCACCCTCTCAAGAGAGTGGTTTTCTTCTATACTGGCATTTTGATGCTCTTTAAGCAGATCTGGCTATAATTAAGATTGAGGAACATGAAGCTTTCTTAATCTAAAATTCAGAAAACATTTTTATATGGAGGGTATATTAACCTCGCTAGACTTTTAATCAAGTAAAACTATTTCCAGAGCACAGAAAAAAAAATCCTTTTTATCAGTTACCTTGGAAACGTAGGATATTTTAAGAATAACACATTTCTTTTTTCTTCAGTAAATATTTGCGACAAGTAGTACATCAGCGTTCATTCCTCACCTGCAAGCTTCAGAGCATTTTGGTGGTAGCAGCTCTACTAGGAGAGTCCATTTTAATGTGGCCATTAACGTTGTGGTTCAAGTTTTGTTAGGTCCCCTGTTATTTGTGTTACATGTTTACATTTTTTAAAAGACAACTCAGTGATCCCACTTGTCCTTGAGAAGGACTCTTGCCTATAGATTGTAGGGGCAGAAATTATTTAACAATAAGAAATGACCATTGGGAATAACTTCTGACAAGATGCCACATCAGACTTCATAGGAATCAAGGTCTGTTTAGCTAAAGAGGGAGTAGCATGTCCCTGCACACATGCTGTGTGTCTGTGTTAGTGGATACTGAACCCAGGGCCTTTGCACTAAAGCTACATCCTCAAGCCTTGTTTTGAGACAAGGTCTGAAGTTGCCCAGGCTGGGCCTAAACATCCAGTCCTTCTGCTTTGGCCTTTCAGGTTGCTCAGATCACAGACTTTGCCACCACACCTGACTAGTTCTTGGTTTTTAAGGTGGGATTTATTTCCTTATTCTGAGATCTGGAGTAAGATTTAGTGAAAAGGGAAGTCTTACCTAGGCAGAGAGACTTGGAGGAAGGACTTCGGTGGGATACACAGAGGAAGTGCCAGCGGACCGAAGCGCAGGGCGAGGGGCAGGTCCTGTGCGGGTGGGAGCGGTGCTCGAAAGTATCCCAGGCCACACTCTAGGTCTTCAGGTCACTTCCAAATAATGTCTTAGGATGGTGTGGAATGATAGAAGTGTGGAAAGTGTCACAAGATTGGTATTTCACAAAGCTGCTTGGCAGTAATACAATTAGAAGTGGGAAGGTAGGCCAATGAAACTTACAGGAACCTTTAACTTCCAGACGGTGGAATGAGTAAAGGGAGAAAGCAGTTGACAGGCCTGGGAAGCAGAATCAGTAGGATGTCATTCATGCAAGTTTAGATGAGAGGGTTGTTTAGAGCTTGTGTGGTACATTTTTGACTAAGATGGGGAACATGAGGAAAAGTCTAGGGGTAGTGTGAATAAAACCTTTACCTAGCCATATGATTCTGGAGTTGAGAGGGCAGGTGTGGGTTAAAGCCTAAACTTTGTACCTGAAATAAGGTTAATTACAGTTAAAATATTTGAGTGGAAATCTATGGGAAGAAATGGGGACAGTGGGAAAGGGAATGGGGTCCAGGACGCCTTCCTATTTTTTTTGGCAGGAAACAGGTTGAGTGATAACTCGGATCAGTGTAGTATTTCTCTTTTTTCCCCTAAAAGGAAGCGGTGTTTCTTTTTCCACCCAAAGGTTTTACTGCATGCTACTGTATATGGGAGATTGTAGGGTTGTAGGTAGATAGTAGAAATTTAAGGTGTTCATATTTAGTGACATCTGTTTTTTTGAAGTAGAAATTAAGAATGGTGTGGGTGCAGCCTAAGTTGGGAAAATAACAATGTCAAGGTATAAAGATGGAGGAGCCTTTGTGAGTGCATCTAAGGTTGGGCTCCAGTTTTGTGGTGGCAGTCCAGTTAGTGACATACTCTGTCACAGGAAAGGAGATAGATCAAACAGCAGGTTGGAGATGGCAGTAACTGGCTTCCTCACTTAGTTACTGGCTGTCAATCCAGCTTCAAAGTGCAGCTAAGTACAGTCATGTCCTCCCCATTGTTTCGTGGGGAATGAGCATTTCATTTTGTATCTGTTGCCTCACTAGCTTCTTTAAGAGATTGGTTAGTGTTCTACTTTTACAGAGGACACATGAAAGAATTGTGACTAGCAGAAAGTTGAGTAGAGGTTAAAATGATTTTAAGATCCCAGCATTTTAGTTGGAATCTTACTTGCTAAATGTTATGCTAAGCTGGGTAGTTTAAGCCTTGTGATAACTTCCTGAAAAGTAAGCAGTTAGAAATGTATTTATTGAAAATAATTTTCATAAAATGACTTTCTCTACAAGATACTATGTCACATACTTTTTAGGTATCAAGACATAGCAACTTAATGGTATCTTATTTTTAGAAGATGTCTCATGTTCTGCCTACATAATTACTGTAGTTGTTTATTAGGTACTTTTGATTTAGAGTATGAACAATTCAAAATACCTTAAAATATTCCCGACTTAGCTTTGTCACACTGGAAATGCCTGCACATTTTTGGGTGAGTGCTTTTAAAAAGTCCACTTCGGAGATGAAAACCCTGTCTTGTTTTTACATATTTTGTTACTTTTACAGTGGCTTGTGTTTCTCCTGTAGTAAACGCAGGGCCTTAACCATTGCAGGGTTAGCACTCCTGAGCCTGGCTCTCATCCCAGCGTTTGCAGTGTTAGTACACTATTATGCTGCCATCTAGTGGTAAACTTATGTGGGAAGAAAGGCAAGTCTTGGCTTGGTAATTGCATTTTATAATTGAGGAAACAGTTCTGTAAATGCGTGCACAGTGCATGTTACACAACCACTGAAGGACAGACCCAACAAAACTATTTGAAATACTCCTCTGACTCAGAGTGTCCACTAAGTAACAGCAGTATAGTCAAATTGGAATGAACATAATATGCTGTGTATTCTGGTGAAATCAGCTGATAAAAAATTTTTAGTTTCCATCGTTATACTGAAATAATTTATAAGTTTGTGCAGTGCATTAAAAAGGGAAGATACTTTGAACTTAATTAATGAGGTAATCACGTTTTTTGTTTCTTTGAGACAGAGTCTTGCTGTGTAGTTCAGGCTGGCCTGGAATTAACCTTGTAGCTCAGGGAGACCTCAAACTCTGTGATCCTTCTCCTTTAGTCTCCCCAAGTGCTGGGATTGTAGGCACCCACCACCATGTCCCCCACATTGAGAATTTTTAAAAGGGCATAGTGTCCTCATATTGAAGAGAATTCTCATAGTCTGGGGTTATATGCAGCTGTATAATGGTGTTTTTGTTTGTTAGAACTTTAGAGTTTGAGAAGCTGTTCTGGGGTTAGGGGCTGTTCAGGAAGGGGCTGTCAAGTCCAGTTGTGTCTTTTGTCTGGTCAGCGCTTCAGGAGATAGGACAGTTTCCACCCCATGAATACTCAGTTTGTGCAGTGTGAAAAAGCATGCAAAGAAAACAATTGCTGACCTTCAAGAAAGGAATTTAAAAGACTAAAAAAATAACTGGCCATTTCATGTGAGTATCAGAACAGTTCTATTGCAGAGGTTTCTCATATCACAAATGAAACATTTAGAAAGTTTCAGTACAAAAGTAGTGATTCACTTTATCTTAGAATTAGAGGAGTCAACCTAGAAAATGACGGTAGAGTGGATGTAGTGGCACATGCCTATAATCCCATCACTTGGGAAGCTGAGGCAGGAAGGTCACTGCAAGTTCGAGTCCAGCCTGCACTATAAAACAAGACCTTGTTTCCAAATAAAAGACAGTAGGACTGATTCTTAGCAGTCATTTGTAGATGATGTGAAGGAATCTACAGAAAAGTTAAAATTAAAGAGTCACAGAAGTTCAGTGACTACAAAGTCAGTGTAGAATCCAGATGTACTGTAGCTATGGGTGAAATCTTAACAGTGGATGTGCAAAATGCTTTGTGGAAAATTCGAACCCTTATTGAAAGATTAGGGTGGATTCAAATCAATGAACAACGTATATACTATGTCCATTGTTAGGCAGAGTGAATATTGTAATTCTTGCCAGATTGGCTTATAGACTGTGGGGCGATGGTGGACCGGACCGCTGTAATCCCAACAGGTTGAGGCAGCAGGATTGCCAGGAGTTGCCAGCCTGGACTACATAATGAGATCCTGTCTCAAAAAACAAAAAAAAAGATCAAACACATTGACATCAATGTAAGTTGAATTAAAGTTCCAAGAGATTTTGATATTAAATGTGACAGTCTGATTCTAAATTTTATATTTAGAATTTTTATAAATATATCTGTATAATCTAGATAACAGGGTAAACTTCTCCCAGATACCATGACTTGTAATAGGTAGTATGTATTATCTTACAGGGAACAGAGACTAGAAACTAGATATATATGAAGACTGATAGAATGGGAGTTGCTGTGAACTATTGTGAGATGTAAAAGTTAAAGTAGGATCTCTCTTATTTATGTGGATTTAATATGCACTTAAATGTGAGATGCAAAGCCAGACTATTTTAAGAAAATAAAGGAAATAATTTCATGACCTTGGATTGGAGAGTTTCTTAATAGTAAAAACAAAGCGTTCTGTGTTTGAATACATTAATAACTAATTTTTATTAAAAGAGTACTTTTGAGGTGATACATGGAACACATGTAATCAAATTAGACTAATTCAAGAATAAGTAAGAAATTGCAGTTCTGTAAGAACAAAAGGTAAAAGTTGGGCAATAAAAACTGGTATTTCACAGAAGAAACAGTCCATAAGTACATAAAATTCAGGTTCATTGTGGAAAATGCATATTGAAATCACAGGTGCTGCTTTACACTGGCGAAGATACCCGCTGCCCCCCCCCTTGGTGTTCGGGATCACATTCAGGGCCTTATCCATGGTTGGCTTGCTGAGCGCTTTACTACTGAGCTGCATCCCCAGCCCTAGAATGTTCAGCCGTTTTTAATCACTGGTTAAAGTGGAATGGGAAATAGTTTT